GGCACTATATCGGCTCACTGCAACCTCTGCCACCCAGGTTCAAGTGATTCTTGTGTGTTAGCCTCCCAAGTAGCTGGTATTACAGGCACGCATCAACGTGCCCGTCTAATATTTGTGTTTTTAGCAGAGACCAGTTTTGCCATGTTGGCCAGTCTGGTTTTGAATTACTTGCCTCAAGGGATCTGCGTGCTTTGGCCTCCCAAAGTGCTGGAATTACAGGCATGAGCCACCAATAGGGTTAGGTGTTTTAAATGCATTAAAAATAATTTTTTTTGAGACAGGGTCTTACTCTGTTACCCAGGCTGGAGTGACTTGGAGCAATCACAGCTCACGGCAGTCTTCACCTCCCCAGGCTCAGGTGATCCTCCCACCTTAGCCTCCCAAGCAGCTGGCACTACAGGTGTGTACCACCACTCCTGGCTATTCTTTTTATTTTTTTAAGAGATGGAATTTTGCCGTATTTCCCAGGTTGGTCTCGAACTCCTGAGCTCAAGCAATCCACCCGCCCTGGCCTTCCAAAATGGCAGGATTACAGGTGTGAACTACCATGCCTGGCCTAAGTGCATTTTTGACTTACAACATTTTCAATTTATGATGGGTTTATCAGACATAACCTCATCGTAAGTCAAGAAGTACATGTACTGGAGGATTTTGGTTAGAGAATCTTGATGACCAAGTGTTTTAGAGGCCAGTCCCGTGGCACATTAAATGATAGTTCTGTGGATCCAGGAAGTTATTGGACCCATCTAGCACTTTACTTCTTCCCTTGTAGTCTTCCTCATTCCCTTTCCCCAATGTCTTTACTCCCAGGTTCCCTAGACAACAAACACTTCTCTTACGCCTAAAGAGTCTGGGGGAGCCCCTGGATATCTTAGTGTTTTACTGTCTTTCCTATCTTAGTATGGGAACTAACAAAGGCAGGTTGGCTTCTAAGCTAGCATTCTGTCCTTGGGATGGAATATTCCACAAGCTTATGGCTTTGGGCCATAAGACCAAAGGAGTCAGTTCCCAACTTCAGTATTTGAAACTTTAGATATCCTATTTCCTTACAACGTGACTGTGTTGCAGATAAGGACTGCTGGATCCTCTGCACATTCGAGTAAATCCTGTTGTGAACTGAAGGCAGTAATTCCTCTTGCTTATCTGGGCCATGTTAGTGCAGGGGCCAGGGAAATTTAGCTTTGCCTGTAAGCCTCCATTCTGAGAAGCATCTTACCACCATTGTTCTAACAATGAAAATGCAATTAGGATGGAGACAGGTTTTCAATGCTCTACTGCATGTGAGAAGCATCATTAATTGAGAAATTCAAAATTACTTTCAACTGTTTGAATTCATGTAATTGCATGCCAGTATGAGTGCTCAAGGACAAATGAGTGCTCAAACCGGAATATCCCACCTGAGAACCACACAGTTTGTTCAAAACCACCATCCTGCTGCTGCTGTAGGCAAGGCTGGGACTCACTGAGCCTTACTTCACCTTGGTGTTTCAACTGTGGCACGTTGCCTTGCTTAGGTCACGGGGGAAGGACAGTCTTCCTTTGGACGTGTCTGTTTTCCTGACACCAAGAAATTTTTCAGTTAACTGTTGCAGGCAGCTTTACAGGCAAGAGATATGAGTTTTGCTTTTTTATATAGAAAAAAGTTTGCAGTGCATGCCTGGGGCAAGGCAGGAAATGCAATTTGGTATTTGGAAACATCAGAATATATTTCTTTGGGAGCTGTTTGTAATGTCGCTTCACTGCATTGTTCCCTCAGTTCCAACTCATAAAAGTGTCAGTTCCAGCATCTGGCTATCCTAAGACCCTTTAAACCTGATAAAGGAAACCCAAATAAATACCTCCTCCTACCCTGCATTTTGTTGTCCAGATGTGACCTTTGTCCCAATACCTAAAAGTGACAATGACCATTGTCATGGATGTGGAATACAGCAGTTTTTCTTCTAGTTCTCAATATTGCTTTCAATCAAGCTTCCACCTAGGCAAGAATTAAAACAGAAAAGAAATAAAGGAGAGGTGTCTAAGCAACCAAGTCTTCCCTGGAAGAGAAGAGGAAGACGTGAGAAGTGAATAACAGGTTTATTTGCATATACACAAGAGAAGAGTTAACCGTTGCTGGGTGAGAAGGAGGTAAGGCTTCAGCAGAGGAAGGCACCTTGACAGACAAACAAGAGACTCTCAGCTTATTAAATCAAGCATAGTTGCAAACTTCACTTGCCCCAAGCCAACAACTTATTTAACTCATTTACCTGCTGTCCTAGAGAATCATTAACAAAACCAGCTGGAAAATAGAAATGATTTTACGTATCTGGACCTGCCACTTAAAACGTTATGTACAGGATGCAGAAAAAAAAAAAAAAAAAAAAACATAACAGGCACTTACAAATAGTTCCTTATCTAATCAGTGCCATCTGTCCTGCTAGTAAAAATATCTATTATGGAAGAAATTAGGTATTAAATGAGCCATCAAAGTTGGGGCCTCAATTCTATAAGAGTTTAGGCAAAGGTTCTCTAGAAGTGGTTTTTGCCAGGTTTCCAGACCCACAACCATAGACACAGAATCTCTGGAAATGAGGGTGGAGCAGCTCTAACGCAAGCATTTCTCACCCTGCTCCTGTGTGTGTCTTTATGGGGCCTATCACCTGGTGAGCTGAGCCAAGGATGCTGGGAAGCCTCTGCCAAGGATGGAAGGCATTCTTGCTAAAAATGATCTTTCTTGGCTTCTAAAGTTAACCAGAATGAACTCTGACTTCTCTTTCGAGTACCCAAATGAGATTAAGGCTTTTAACATGAAAAGACCAAGTTCTGCATTTGGGAATTGTAACTACTAAGTAGCTAGTTCACAAGGGAACTTTAACTACTTTTCTCCAGGAAGATATGAGGATTGTCCTTAGAGAAGTCAGAAGAGGCTATGTGCTGATTAAAATAAAATAGAATAAAAGAAAGGACTGGTGTGCTGACTAAGAAGGGGAAGAGAAACACACACTGAGTGATAGTATCTTTTTTTTTTTTTTGTATATAAAGGATTAAAAAAATTCCAATTTAATACATTTTGGAAAAGCAAATGTAAAATGACTTGGGCTTATAAAACCAGCATTTACAATTATCTGTAAATAGTCAAAGACAAATCATAGAACCATTTTGATTACAAATCCAAAGTAATTCTAACGTTGGTTACAGAATCACTTTCTTACTCCCCCAGTAAGAGTCCAGGTGTTAAGTTGTACACACCCCCATGCTACACACACTCCTTCTCCTTCTCAGTGTTTTCATACCCAGCCGCAGCACACATACCAGGCACATCTTTTCTTTCACAGAGCTTATCAGGATAGTATCTCCTTCTGGCTTAAACCAATCACCGTTTATAAATTAACCCCCCCCACTCCCAGTGCCTGAATTCATCCACGTCTTCTGCCTTCATAGGCAGCCTCCCCTTGGCAGGCCTTCCAGCAGGGTAGGCCTTCCTCTAAAAGGAAGGCTGGAGTGGTGAGGCCACACCAGTCAGCATTCGGCCCTCCCTCCACCAATCCCAGCTGGGTTCCTAGTTGTCTAGCACCTTTGCGCTCAAGAAAATCGTATCGTTCTTCTCTCTCTTATTCCTCTTTCTTGCCAGTATTCTGCCTTTTCATAATATTTATGCCAACAAGATACCTAGTTGTTCCTAGATCTTCCTGTTTTGCACAACCCTTCATAGATAACCGAGTGACTGCAACGCTGAAAATCTGTTGGTCTTTTCCCTTTGAAACCTGTATTTACCTCAATAAAACTGAGTCTCTTGTGGTAATCAGAAGACCTAAGACTCATGGGAACCAGGAGTCGTAAGCCGGAGACTCCTCCCCAACACCCTCTGACTCCTAATAGACCTACTCAATAAGAATTTGTTACCTTGAGATGCCTACTGCTCTGTGAAGTCTAGTCAGAACACCACAGCTTCTATCAACTGCAAGTCTGAGGGAAGAGGCCAGTCCCACCAATTCTGACCAACGGTTCCGGGTTGAGTTAAACGAATATAGTACCACATTCTGCTCCTCACTAAGCTTTTCATTAACACACCTATAACAACTATTTTAGTAGTCTGAGCACAAAGCTCTGGAGAGCTGTCTTTGCCCTTCTTTCACTATGCTTCGATCCATCACGGGAGCCAAGGAAGCACCTGCTGGCCTTGTGAGTGCCTCTTAGGATCTAGCACCTAACTGGTTAAAGTCTGTTATCCATGACTAGTTCTATTTTATGGCCTTCATACAGTACATGTTGCAGCATTGCTCAATTTGCAAACAGTGAAATTTATCAGGAATCTATATTCTCTTGAATCCGATCTTAAGTGCCAAACTCATTAGAATCAAAAATGCTTTTTTTTTTTTTTTTTTTTAGCATGTCCACATTAAATGCTCAATAAAGAAGTGTTACTTAGAGAAAACATGGAAGATTTCTTTAAGAAAGGAACCATGCTTTCCTCTATAGCACAGCCAATGGGCTGAAGGCCTGTTTCCATCTCCATTCTTCCAGCATAAATCTACAACTCACTGGCAGCACAACCTGATTTAACAGGCACCCATCATCCAGACCAGAATACCTATGGCATGTAAACAGGGTGAGATGGCAAAAAGTACAAATTCATAGGTCCTTTCTGACGGAGAACTAAAAGAAAGGTCTTGTGAGACAATGACCTCTCGCGTGCCAGTGTGCGTACACAAGAACAGGTTGAATGTCTCAACAAGGATTTACTTCCACAGAGCCTTGCGCAGCACACTACGCTCACGTCTCACTAGAAAGGAGTCACTTGGTTTTTTTTTTTTTTTCCCTTTCTTAACATAGCACAAGCCAACGGCCAGCTAGACATTCAGACCCATTGTTGAATGTTGGATAGAAGGGAGCAGCATCAGACACAAAATTTCAGGCCCTGGTTTCATGTGCCTTTAATACTTGTTTTCCTTTCCTCTGTATTCACTAAACAGATTGTTTTTTTTTGTTTGTTTTTTTTGTTTGTTTGTTTTGTTTTTTTGGTAAGGCTACTTTTGTAGCTTTTTGTTTTCCCTTTGTATTTATCATGTTTTTAATTTCTTCTCTGAGGAGGAATTCTCTGAATCTGTATCTTCCAATTCAATTCGGTGCCTTTTGAGGCCACTGTGGCCATGAACAGCCCTGCTGCTATCTGTGGCTGGGGTGTCAGTGGGGTCCTCTCTTGTTCCAGTACTGGGGGTCTCACAGGCCATTTCAGACCCGCAACAATCTTTGTGTAGGAGTGTCCCTGTCAGGGACGAGTTATCACGGTCAGTGTCTGAGTGTCCAGGGGAAGAGTAGGCCACCGCCTCCAGCTCCCCCAAGTTCTGCCCGTTATTGTGGGGGTGAGAGGGACGAGGGTGTAAGCGTCCATTGTTGTGGTTGGCACAGATGGTTTCGAGGCTCCTCTCCTCACTGTCATCAGACTGGGTCCTGGGACAGCTGCCAGACCCGCTGTTGAGAGTAGAGCCAGATGCCTTGGGGACAGGAGGAGAAGGCGGCTCCTCAGCCCGACTGCTCAGGGCCTTTCCATTGAGCTTCTTGGTTTCAAAAGGGTGCTCTACAGAGCCGCTATTGCCAGTGTCCTGAGAGGTACCCTCTGGCACCTCTGCCCAAGTGTGGCTGCTGTGCTCATGGCCTGGGCCATTGCTGGGATTTCTAGGAGTCTCTTCTTTAAAAGCGTCCGTGCTGCAGCCTTCAGGGGGCAGGTCCTGGTTCCTCTGGGCCGCTGCTATGTTTAGACAGGCTTCCTTACTGGAAGAAGGGGCTGGGTTGTCTTTGTGGCTGGTTCCTGCTCTCCCTTCATCTGCCTCGCTGGTCACCAGGGAGGTCTCTCCATCTTTATTATTTGAGTAGGATATATAAGAGTAGCGGAGCCACTTGTAAGCTTTATAAATTTTTCGCTCAACTGATTCTATGTCAGAAGTTGGTGATGCCCGGCTTGGCTGAATCTCTAGAGTGGAAGTGCTCCGCTCAGGGGAGGAGGTGGGGGAGGAGGAAAGGTCATCCACTTTGATCTGGGGGTAATCATAGTTGTCTTCTCCGATGTAGGTGCTGGTGGGCTTGATTGGGGCGCTGGGCCTCTCTTCTCGGGTTGTCTTCTGTCGGCGCCGCATGGCATTCCGCTGCCAGGTACAGGCTCGGCGTTCATTCAGCTCCTCCTCATCCTCGGAGCTGCTAGAGCTGCTGGAACTGCTGGATTCATCTTCAGGGCTGGGCGACCGTGGCCGGGGAAAGAGATCTGTGTCTAGTTCTACCTCGCAGACATTCTCCTCAGAATCGGACTCATTGGAAAGGGCCAGGAGGCGTTTGTCTTGATAGCGCCGCAGAGCAGACAGACGCTGCTGGCGAGAGGCTGCGTCCTCACACGTGGGTGTTGGTGGAGTTGAGGCCACTACGTTTGTGGTGGTGACCCGCAGGGGCCCCAGGTGGAAGGCGCTGTCGGCAGACTCATCTACTGTGGGAGGCGGGGAGCGAGGCAGTGAGGCCGAGGACTCTGAGTCAGTGTAGCCTGAGCGCTCGCTGACCCCTGCATGCAGTTGGAGGATAGTACTCTCACTGAGGTCACTGTCTGAGTCAGAGCTCCAGCCCTCAATCTCTCGACGTACCAGGGAGTCAAAGAAGGCCATCATCCGAGGGTCCTCCTGGACCGACTGGTTGGCATAATCATGCGACAGGCCACTCCCACTGTTCAGCACGAGGCTGATGTACTCTTCATGGGTATAGAGGCAGCGGGAATCATCCTCAATCCGACCATCAAGGTCTCCAGTACATCCTGGCTGCTTGTATGGGCTCCAGATCTGCAAAGGCAACAAGGAGTCACTGGAAAGTATTCTTTGACTGGTGATGATAAAGAACACCAAGGCAGAGCTTCCCCAGACGCTCCCTGTAATTTAGCTGGGACTTACTAACCAACTTAAAAATATGTTCTTTACCAGACAGGGTCACGTAGGCTATGTATGAAAACCGAGGCTTTTAGAATCAGATGTGGGAAAATGCAGAATACAGTATTAGCCTAGTGTCAAGAGACCTAAGTCCTGTCGCTAGGCCCAGGGTAATCACATACTTTCTCCACCAGAATCTTCTTCCCTTTTTGTTTCATCTATTAGTAGTTGGACATTATAATAATAATCCCAGAGGATAGATGATGACCTGAAGAATGGCCAAGGTGTTAACGACTTTCAGAAGACCGAAGCTGTACACAGATACCACTTTTCCCAAATGAAAACAGACCCAGCACTCAGCCCTCTATGGCAATTAAATATCTGAGCCTATAGCTCCGCGTCTGGCCAACTGCAACATTCCTATTTTTAACTAATGGGAATTGCTCACTGGAGCTTGATAAGAATAGCCAACTGCCTACACTGCAGTTCCCTCTTGGACATACAGGCATCAGTTGCCCAGGAAACTGGGTTCTCTTAACCAGGGAGCTGCTGGCTTGCTCTCCAACAAGTATGTTAGCTATAGGAGTAGGTAGGACACATGCCTCAAGGACAGGTAACTGCAGCCCTACTCCTAACGGCCCTCTACTCCATGGTCAGGGACATGGACTCATAGCTGAAAGGCAGCAGAGCTAGGACCCAAACTCAAGTCTGCCAGACTTAAAGGCTCAGCTTTACTGTTATGCAAAATCAAGTGCAAGGTAATTAAGCTGTCACCGCAAATGAGAACGATTAGCTCCACTTGACAGCCAGACTAGTTCACAGCAGCTCAGAGCAGCCCAGTTACATCAGCCTGTAGTCATGGCAACTCAGATGAAATCCCAGGCAATCTTCTTGCCTGACAGGCTGGTGTCTATCTTTAGATGGCATCCAACCCAGAAAACAGTGGCCCCTCTTTCCCCATCCTCCATCAAGACCAGGACTGCTTCCCCAAAGCTCTCTGAGGACAAATGCACGTCACCTCTCTGTGGGAATTCTCCTGAGTTCCATTCCTGCCATACTTTACTTGGCAATTCCTGGGAGGTGGTGTCTCTGCAGAGGACCCCCCAGTTCCAAAGAGGCTGAAGAAACCTTCTAGATGAGCCTCTCCACCAGTTCCCAACTCAGATTCATTCCTCTTTCAACTTTGTTCCCTACCCGTAACTCTAGACGTTGCTCAGAAGTTCTCCCCTCTCCAGCTTCATAATCTTACTCAGAAGAGTTTTAAGGGATTGGTTTTCAAACTTTGGACTGCACAAGAATCACCAGAAGAGCAATTATAATGTTGATTCCTGAGTCCCACTCTTAGAGGTTCTGATTCAGTAAGTCATGGACACTCAGTAAGCCCATGAATTTTTAACTACTCAAGGGATGAGTGAGTAGGTAGACCAACTTTTCAAACACTAGACTACAGTTACCATAAAGTAAGTAGAATAAAATAATGGATTTATCTGAAGGTTTACACATGGTCTCCAGCATGTAGCTTAAGCTATAAATTACCATCTCTGCAAACAGATGTCTAAGAGCTTGATGGCTTAGAAAGGAAGCTGAGGGGTCTAAAACGGAAAGCCCTTAGGATGTTTTTTTGTAACTTATTCGTAATTCTGAGCCAAATTTCTCACCTCTCCAGTTTAAAAGTGGTAAAACGTCATTAACTATGTTCTCTAATATGAAGATTTTCACAGAAACTCAGAATTTGTTAACAAAAGTGCAAAATAACAATGGCGAGATGTTGGCTTAACTCCTCACCAAGCCCGTTTTTAGGTTCCAGTGTATTACTACCCAGCTCCCACATTTTCCCTTCAGGAATGAAAGTCATAACATTGAAAGTTAGTTTGCATTTGGGCTCTGGAATGTATTAAGCTGAGGTAGACTGTTCATTCCTGAAGCCTGGAGTCATGGAATAAAACACAGGATTAAGAGGCAGGAGTCCTGAATGTGGGTTCCCACTCACTCCTAGTTAGCGGGTGATACTCAGCTCCTTCCTCTAAACAGTAGATTAGATGGGTCTCATCCAATCCTAAGATTCAGAGCAAAGCAAAACCTTCACTCCAGACTGCCAGCCTTCAATCCTCAAGGGACTCACGGTACAGTGCTTCAGGAGCAGGTAGGAACTCTAGCCCTGTCGTTTCCTGTGGCTCTGAGCAAATGACCTCACCCTTAAAAGCCTGTTTCTTGTATGTATAAATGAGAATGATACCAAAGCCTATACCCAACACCAATAAATGTGATGTTTTCTCAATTGACTGCCTCAACCAGAATGTTAAAACTCACCCTCAGAGATTTCAGAACAGTAGAAGTACTGACTGTCCTCATCCTTAAAATTAATGTATCAATTTCAACCATTTGTGAAATTGGCGATTTCTTTATACTGAAAGTTAACAACTCAGAAGGGAATCAGTGAAAAACCAACTTCTGGTTACATGTTAAATGTGGCTAGACATGCCTCATCATGGGGCAAAATTCATCGGAAAGAGCTAGGTGTGGTGGCTCACACCTGTAATCTCAGCACTTTGGAAGGCCAAGGCAGAAAGATTGCTGGAGCCCTGGAATTTGAGACCAGCCTGGGCAACACGGCAAAACCCCATCTCTACAAAATAACACAAAAATTGGCCAGGAGTGGTGGTGTGCACCTGTAGTCCCAGCTACTCAGAAGGCTGAGGTGGGAGGACAACCTAAGCCTGGGGAGGTTGAGGCTGCAGTGAGCCATGATCATACCACCTAGCCTGTCCAAAAAAAATAAATAAATAAAGGGAAGGAAGAAAGAAAGGAAGGGAGGAAGGAAGAAAGAAAGAAAGGGAAAAGAAAAGAAAAAAGAAGTGAAGAGATGAGAGATGAGACAAATATTTTCCTCTCCATAGGCAGTGAAGTTTAGCTCAAGGGGCTGCTGAGAAAAAGGATGTAGTTCAATTCTTATTTAAACATTATAAAAATGGAAAGCAATTAAGTGACAAGTGTTTGAGTTACACATGCGATCATGATATGCTTTTATTTTTGAGAAAGGGTCTTGCTCTGTCACCCATGCTGGAGTGCAGTGACATGAACACAGCTTACTGCAGTGTCCACCTCCTGGGCTCAAGTGCTTCTCTCACTTCAGCCTCCCGAGTAGCTGGGACCACAGGCAGGCATCACCATGCCTGGCCAATTTTTACATTTTTTGTAGAGATGGGGTCTCCCTGTGTTGTCCCTGACAACAGGGAGTTTCTTCCAGCCAGGAAGATGGAAGTAAAGGACAAGGACAGAGAGAAGGAGGGAGTAGAGGTAGAGAGAAAAAAGCAGGTCTCAGGCTCGACCAGAACATGGTGGCTAATGCTCTTTGAGTCACTGATAATCTCAGAAATAGGAGGCAGGAAAGTGACATTTATTAAAATAGGAGTTAGGCACAGGTAGTTCACAAGGCACTCCTGGGTGGCAAGTCACTGTCCGCACCTTTACTTTATAGACGGGAGACAGAACCAAGGGTTGAGACTCAGTGCCCTTTAGTGCAGGCTGAGGCAGTAATTCCAGCAGAGACGAGGCCAGCATGGCCCTTGGTCTCATCCTTCTCCTTACCACTGCCCTTCCTGCAATGCTTAGTGCCATGCCATTCCCAACTAGATTGTGAATGGGGATGACACCTGCAAGACAGCAAAGCTGAGAACTCCAGGGCTTTTTGCTTTCCCTCTCACTATGGTCATCTGTACATACTTAACATTTCAAAGGGTTAAACATGCCTCCTGGCGGAACAGGGTTCAGATTCCATGCGAAACAGGTAGCAGTGAGCTCCATAGTTCAGTCTGGATAACCTCACAGAGAAAACATTTTTTTCTTCTTTTCCTCTGAGAACTTGGCTATTTTGCAACCTATGACATAGTTGACTAAACAATAAATAGGGAGACTTATCACAGAAGCATCCCAGAGTACACAGCCAAGAAGGAATTTCTCTTGTAAAGGAGGTCCCTAAGCAGAAAGCTCTCCGAGAAAGAATGACGTCAGCAGGCCCAGAGAGGACACATTACAGAGCCAACCCATTAGTCATCAGCCAAAGGCGAAGGGAAAGCAATGCAAGGGACTGGGCCATTTCAATGACTGCCCTACTGAGAGGCTCAAATCCAGCAGGGGAATGGGGCTGCTTGCTGCCTTCCCACCAGCATGGCAAATGTGGTAGTATGTTGGGAAGAACAAAGGGTAGGGCTCTATTCTAGCTTTGCCACTAATTAGCTGTGTGACCTTGGGCAGTTAATTTATAATTTAAATCTCATCATCTGTAAAAAGAAAAAGTCAGTAAAAATGAGTTCCTCATTCTAGCCCCACGGGGAAATGTGTGCCACCGTGAAAGTCAGCCCTGATCCATAGGATTAGCAAAGTAAATCAGGGAAGTTGGACTAAGGGCAAAAAAAATATTGACCTACACACCAATATTACATTTCTTTTTTCTTTCTGAGACAGAGTCTCGCTTTGTCACTCAGGCTGGAGTGCAGTGGTGCAATCTTGCCTCACTCCAACCTCTGCCTCCTGGGTTCAAGCGATTCTCCTGCCTCAGCCTCCTGAGTAGCTGAGATTATAGGCACATACCACCACACCCAGCTAAGTTTTGTATTTTTAGTAGAGACAGGGTTTCACTATTTTGGCCAGGCTGGTCTCAAACTCCTGACCTCAGGTGATCCACCTGCCTCAGCCTCCCGAAGTGCTGGGATTACAGGCGTGAGCCACCGCTCCCGGCCTCAATATTATATTTCTGTCAGCTGCCCCCTGCCCTCAAGTACAACTTGATTTAGCTCTGGATAGTTACTTTAAGAACAAAAGAAAATGAACATTATGAAATGAAATAATCACAAACCAATTTTAATTTTTTCTCTGAAAACTCTCAGGTTTTTAAAGTCATTTTAAGAAAAAAATTGAGGAATTTTTTTTTTTTTTTAAAGGGTGTCACTCTGTTGCCTAAGGTGGAGTGCAGTGGTGGGAATATGGCTCATTGCAGCCTCAGCCTCAGCCTCCTGGGTAACTGGGACCACAGGTATACACTAATTTTTAAATTTTTTTGTAGAGACTGGGTCCTGCCATGTTGCTCAGGCTGGTCTCCTGGGCTCAAGAGATCCTCCTGCCTAAGCCTCCCAAAGTACTGGGATTACAGGTGTGAGCCTCCACACCCAGCCAAAATCGAGGTATTTTAGCTTTTAGCAGGTACATCACTTATCCTTACTTAAAAGTCATTCTCTCAGGAACCTCAAGAATTAATTATTTACCCTGAATTCTCATTTTCTCAGATGTGGAGAAACTGGTACTACGCATCGGAATACAAGTGAGGGGCAGTGGGTCAACCTTCTGAAGACATGGGCCAGGCTGAAACCCTCTCTTGCAGCTATAAAAGCATTTATTGGCAGAGGTGAGTTTATTCAGCCAATGTGCAAATGATGCAAGTATTTAGTATTCATACCCAAGTAGCCTCAATTACAACCACATGCAGTAGTTTTTTTGATATATCCTGAGACAATTTAACTATGATTCTGGCAATCATTAGTTTTATCCATGCCATATTAGGACAGCAATTAATGCAAAGTACATACAAAGTAACTGAGGGGATAGTGGCTCTCCTAACCTCCAGATGAGGTTTGAAAGCAAAATTCATTATACTCAAGACCAAAGGCCTTTGAAAATGTTGCAGCATACAAAACAGTGTTAAGAAGATACCCTCTGTTTCAAAGCTTAACGACTAGTTTAAAAAAATGGTTCCAAGCCAGGTACAGTGATGCATGCCTGTAGTTTCAGCTACCTGGGGGGCTCAGGCAGAAAGAGCACTTGAACCCAGAAGTTCAAGTCCAGCCTGGGCAACATAGCAACACCCTGTCTCTAAACAAATTTGTTTAATGAAAAACTAAATGGTTCTGAAAGGAGCATTTTAAATCACCTTTCTTTTTTCTTCTTCTTCCTCCTCCTCGTCTTCTTTCTTCTTCTTTCTTCTTCTTCCTTTTTTTTTTTTTTTTTTTAAGATGGTGTCTTGCTATGTTGCCCAGGCTAGCCTCAAATTCCTGGGCTAAAGTGATTCTCCTGCCTCAGCCTCCTAGGTAGCTGGGACTATAGGTACTGTCATTATGCCTGGCATCACTTTTTAATATCAGCTTTCCAATATTTTATAATATGTCAAAATCTGAGACTTTTGATAGACCTTTAGTATGTTTAGATATGAGGTCCTACATATATTATTCTAGTTTCTTCTAATTATAAATTGTAAGAATTTCTCTAAAAGGACAGAAGGGGAAGGTGCCTCACCTTGATAATCTTTTCTACACCAGAAGAGCAGATCATGTAGGTATGAGGATTAAAACGGACCTGGTTAACAATAGATCGATGCCCTTTCAGCACCATGAAGGCTCCGTTGACCACCCTACCAATGCCACCTGGGAAAACAGAAGGAAACAAAAATCAAACGATGAAAAGGATGAAAGTAAATAGGTTCCAGTAATGGCAAAGAAACAGCTCTGAATTGGAGCTAAGATGTTATTAACTATACCACCAGCAGAATGCTTAATCTTACAGATAAGTTGCTATGGAAAGAGAGAAGATGAAGCACCTCTCAGCATATGTGCTCTTATGAAGAGCCTTTATTTAGCCTTTAAGCATTGCCCACACCCACCCACTGCAATTCCATTGTCAATGAAACTAAAGCCACTTAAAACATTTCTCAAATTTTTGATCCCCAAGATAGAATCCAAGTGTTACCTTAGAAAAGGCTAATCATGAGCAAAATGAGACTGAACTGCTTGGGAATAATTAGGCAGCTGAACCAGGGATATGTAGAACCAGAAGCATATAATGACTTAAATGTACAAAAAACATCTCTAATCCATTTGCCCTCAGTTTCTATGATGAAGACAGCAAACAACAACAACAACAACAAAAAAAAAAAACAAAAACAAAACAAAACAAAAAACCCCACAAAATCCAAAACCACTGGGGGAATAATAGAGAGAATAATTCCCTGCCCGCTACCCCAATAGCAGGCAGAACTAAGGATAAAGAAAGAAAGAAGATTTGGATTACATTCTTAATAAGCAGGGTCCAAGTATTGAGAATTATAATTAGAGAGTGGGCCTTAAAGATACCATGTATAGATTAAAGTCAAGAGGACATCGATAGCAAGCTGTATTTTAAGGACCATCCTGTAGGCTTCCTTCTTCAGTGACTGAGAAAAGTGCCAGAGGCCTGGAACTTACAACATAAAGATGTTATCATTTATGAACTTGGGATAAATTCAAAGGTTCTGTTTCACTGATAATGGTATCACACCCATCCAGCACACATGCACATTAAGTTCTGATCAAGTTCCTTCTGAGCAATCAGACAACTCAGTACACACAGAGAAACATGTGCCCTTGGCTAACTGGCAAAATGTGATGCATCCAGACACAAACAAATGAGCGTTCATTTATCTACTCAAGGGATCCCCTCTTAGTCCCTACCACGAGCATGGCGCCACTAGTCACAAATATCATTAGACAGTCTCTGCTCCAAGGGCTTTCCTCCACTCCCAACTCCACCTTATTCAAACATTCATTCCAAATATTTCTCAAAGTCTGTGTTTGGAGGGAAAATGACTAGAATAATGTCCCTTCCCTAGAAATAACATGGCTCTAGAGGTATCTTCTGCTTTTGGCCCCCTAACACAACTCTTCTTTTGTCTCATGGAAGACATATGTACTTAATAGCATGTACATATCTTTTGTATGACAGCAAAAGGTTCCAGACTGCACCCATATGCTCACACAGCCAGCTCAGTCTATTTTGTGGGTGACGAAATTTTTCTCCATATTTGACATTAGTAATATTTGAATTGTTCAGGATGGAAAATATATTTATCATATTCATATCTCAGCCCAACATCAAGTTTGCTAATAAACTATAAAGGAAAAGAGAGGGACCAGGACACAAGACTAGTGGATTTTTCATGGAGAAAGAGGATGAGGAAAGTCTACTGACGTAGACCGCCACGGTGGGAACCCCTAGGCAGTCTGAGTGCACTGGGTTCTAACGTGGGATGAAAGGGAAGCTGGGTCTAGTCAAAATGAAAATAAACTAGAGAAAATGGGGGAAGAGGGATAAATAGGAATCTAAAGAACCCAAAATAGTTGTCTGAGAGATTCTACCATCCCCCAAAAGTTCCTTTGGGTCTATTTTTTTCTAGGTAAGGTTAATTACGACAAGTAGCATTTCTGCTCATGGGTCTCCTCTGAATTTTACTTTTTTAATGTCTTACTTCTGCCTCTACTCCCGCTAGGGTGGTTAGCAAAGAAACTTTGATTTAAATCTAGTAACAGTCTCTTGTTTAATCCTTCTGCCTCAAAAAAAGGGAGGTGGGGGGATTTAAGTGACTTATCCTAAGCTAGAAAACGGCAGAACGAAGATTTGAACCAGAATCTTGCTTTCCACCATATCAGCTGCCTTTGGAAGATAGAAGAGTTTGAATAGGAATGGAGTCAGAAGATTTAGATTTCTCAATCTTTCTGGCAGTTATCAGATAGGCTGGTTTTCTTCCGAAGTCCTAATTAAAAGGAAGGACACTGTATTCAATGGTACCCCGAGTGCAAGCTCTATAGCTTTATCCTAAGACATTTCATCACATTGCTGACACTGAGTACATGATGAGAGTAGAACTGGATCTGTCTGTCTTACTCTTGCATACCTAGAACCTAAAGTGCAATGTCCAAAGTCCACCAGGTGCATAAATACTTGCTGAATGGATAGTGTTTGAAAAGAGAGGAATTTTAGAATAAATATGTCAAAAAAGGACAGATGGAAGTTCTCACAATAATCAGCTATCATAGAACTAAATTGTATCAACCAAAGCAAACTTTCTGACTTGGAACACAATTACAATAACTTTCAGATCTAAAGAATAACTGAAAGGTATCAATGCCTGAAAAACTGTTTGTATTGCTCTTTCATGCAATCTGACCTCATCTGATTTCTCTCTTTTTTTTTTTTTTTTGAGACGGAGTCTCACTCTGTCACCCAGGCTGGAGTGCAGTAATGCGATCTCGGCTCACTGTAACCTCCGCTTCCCGGGTACAAGTAATTCTCTGCCTCAGCCTCCTGAGATGCTGAGATTATAGGTGCCCACCACTATGCCCAGCTAATGTTTGTATTTTTAGTAGAGACGGGGTTTCACCATCTTGGCCAGGCTGGTCTTGAACTCCTGACCTTGTGATCCACCCGCCTCGGCCTCCCAAAGTGCTGGGATTACAGGCGTGAGCCACTGCGCCCGGCCCTGATCTCTCTTCTTGGTAGCAATTTTAACACGACGTCTTTTTTTTCCTTCTTTCCACCCATGCTGGTACCTAGGAAATCTGAAAAAGAGGAGGAAATCAATAAACCCAGAGATTGAGGTGAAAACAGGTACAGGCAGAATTATGGTGGCCATTTGTTTAAGGTAACCAAGACTGTACAATCATAGCAATAAATGGCTTCAGAGAGGTTCTTTACAGTTTCTTTCCTGGTTCACAGGTTTCAGATGATTGAATACAGCTGCTACTCTACAATTTACAAAGAATAATTTTTTTTTTAAAGATTATTAGTCCTGGAAATTTGTATAAGCCAGACAGCTTCTCCTGTAATGCGAAAGAGCTAAAGTCAAAATGGCAATATCAGAAAGAATAGAGAGTCTCCTTTCCTCTGTCGTCCAGCCAGACTGTGCTGGTCCATAACAGGGTCAAATTGGAAGGGGTTAGGAAGAGCGTATTTTTATCCAAGAACTATATAAACCACATAATATCCCTTCAGGGTCATCTCTAAGACTGTGGGTAAGGACTCAGGTAAGAATCAACCTCACCCCCTGACTGTTGAACGGAGTCCTGACTCAATTGCTAACAATGGGTACCAATAAATAAAATAGAGCATACCCAGGAAAAAGATTTGACTCATTCTTGAGCTGCCATTTGTTCATGAAATTCTGTATAAACCAACAGTCATTTCTCTGGGCCATCTGCTATGGCTGGCTTAGCCAAATGTGATGACAATCTTTTTTTTTTTTTTTGAGATAGAGTCTTGCTCTGCCACCCAGGCTGGGGTGCAGTGGTCCTATCTCAGTTCACTGCAATCTCCACCTCCCGGGTTCAAGTGATTCTCTTGCCTCAGCCTCCTGAGTAGCTGGGATTACAGGTGTGTGCCACCACCTAATTGTTTTGCATTTTTACTATTTTTTTTTTGTATTTTTAGTAGAGGCAGGGTTTCACCATGTTGGTCAGGTTGGTCTTAAACTCCTGACCTTGTGATCCACCTGCCTCAGCCTCCCAAAGTGCTGGGAGTACAGGTGTGAGCCACTGTGCCCAGCCAGCTGACAATCCTTTTTAAGTTTTTTGAGGCTGAAGTCCCCATATATTAATCTTTCTTTGATTGAGAAGAGATGGTAGGGAAGACTATAACCTCATCTATTGCAAGATCTCAGAGAAGTAAATGAGAACAAAGTATCTCACAGAATTTCAGTATCAGTGATCCACTTACTACCTTAGAGGACCCAAGGATCCCACAAGAAAACACCTTGCTCCAAATTCAGATAAAGATCTTTCTAAATGCCAAGGCCAAATGTCACCCTAGAGAAGACAAAGGGAAATGTATATGTCCTAATTTCCCTCCCTCCTCTATCCACTTTCATAATAACATTCAGCCGAGGTTTATTCCATCAGGCCTTTGAAGCGTCAGAATACTATTCCCATTTCTAGCCAGTATCAGTTGCTTTTGTTTAGTGTCAAGTTCATTTGCTTCATGAAGTCCTCCAAGAATGAGTATGTTTTTGACTCAAAAGCCGAAAGCAATATGGTCAAGATTTCTTGATGTGCAACTTATCAATCATGCTGAGAAGTTGTCTTCAATGGCACTTTGGGCTATACAAGAGACCACTTAAGTATTCTGTACTGAAATCAATCCCAAATGCAAAACACCAGGATTGATTTTCTTGCCAGAGTCTTTGGAGTTTTTGCCTGTTCCCTGCAACCCATTACGGTCATGTGCTGCATAACGATGTTTCAGTCAGTGACAGTGGTCCCATAAGATTATAATACTGTATTTTGGCCAGGAGCAGTGGCTCACACCTGTAATCCCAGCACTTTGGGAGGCCAAAGTGGGCAGATCACATTAGGCCAGGAGTTTGAGCCTGGTCAACATGGCGAAACCCTGTCTTTATTAAATATACAAAAATTATCCAGGCATGGTGATGCATGTCTGTAATCCCAGCTGCTTGGGAGGCAGAGGCATGATAATCACTTGAATCTGAGAGATAGAGGCTGCAGTGAGGTTAGATCACACCACTGTTCCTGCCTAGGTGACAGAGTGAGACTGTCTCAATAAAAACAACAACAACAACAACAAAAAACAACAACAAAAAAAACCACCCTGTATTTTCACT